ATAGGAAACTTTGTTCAGCGAGAAATGTTTGAAGGAGAAGCATGAATTCGTTTCTGCTGATGTTGCGCAACAAATAGGCCATTTCAAGGATTAACAGCATTCTTATATTCATCAAGATCTAACGTATTGAATGACTACTCAAACTTCAAAACGATAAAAAATTACGTCCCTGAGGGATCGAACTGGGGTTAGGATATCGGAAAAGTACCGTTTTTTCATCAGGGCCTGGAAACCTTTTTCTGAGGCCGCCTACTCATCCTGCTTGACTCTGCAGCTAAGTCGCTCATCATACTAACTACCTGATCTGGAAGCTTCGACCAGAGTATTTGGGCTACATGTTCCGTTGAGCTTGAATAGGGCACTCAAAACCAATGAGTTTCTTATAGGCACCAATTCGTGAAATTATCAGAGGCCAATCTTCTCACAAGTGCTGTCGAAATCACTCAACAATTGCTCTGTCTGACTAAGGTCAAATGTATAAGAACGTTCTTTCCTGAGGTTGTTCGTGTTTGCCTCTACAGCTTCAAGCATTACCGCTGCTCCTTCCTCTTCAAGATCTTCAATCATCGCTTCTTTGAAGCGCTTTGCAAGTTCTGGAAGTTTGGTTCCACTTGCCTGCGGCTCGTGCAGTCCACATTAGCGATAAGCTTGGGGTTTCTAAAGACAAACGTTACTTGGTGAATTGCATACTCTCACCTCTTATAGGGTCAGCGTGTGGTTGTTAGATAAGCCGGTCGTCTTCTTCGTAGATGTGTTACCAAGACCATTTTCCCAACGAGCCGACAAATGTCTTGAATAGATCTCATCTGATGACACTTTTACGGCTTCGTATTTTGAGCGAAGTAGATTTCTTCTTAATCAGTGAATAATGAGCTGTTGTACGCAAGATGCGACCGTAGATCCCGTGTAGAATTTTGGAACAACTCCGTGTCTGTTAGGCAGAACCTTCACTTTCACTTTCTGAATATTCAGTTTCTTATGACATTCTCCATTAGAGGACTCCAACGTTCGTCGACAGTGAGGCTTATCGAAATGTAAGTTATAACTGATGGCTTGAAGATTATGAAAATTTGCCAAAGTATGTCCGCACACTTTCAAAATATTCTTCAACGTTGCATCTTCATATCACACAATAGAAGAAAGCCAAAGATAGTCAGAAAGCGTGAATATGCAACGTGTGAAGGACCACTCATAATACAAGTCTCATTTACGACTTTTCACTCTCCTCTAGCCTTTTTTCCGAACCCCTTTCCAATTTTGTGAAGTGCGAATTAGAAGGACGATCTTAAGAAATCAGTTCGTTGTACCATAACTGATAAATGATTACTAAATTAGTATCGAATCTAGTGTACCAGTCAGCCACGCTTTGATTGGTCGGTCGCTCACGTGAATTTTCGGTACTTTTGGATCCATTAGTATACAGTTCATAATATATGAATGTAACGCTCGTCTCTTATGAAGAAACTCCTAAACTTTAATTGCTTTCATAGCTCAACTATTGAAACTCAACTCAAAAGATATCAAAACTCAAAAGTTTTGACCAGTTTCTCAATGTCTGAATAGATTCCAAAGTGCTTGTTGTGAACCAGTCTAACTAATCCGACTACCAATTACGAAATTTTTTCGTGTTATATCGTGTCCTCTCTTCGTTTCACTAAATGTATTCACTTTCGAGCAAAGTCGTAGAACGAAAAGAATTATTATCGATGTTAGTAGCTATGACCTCAAACTACTACCGGATCGCTTGCAAGCCATTGCTAATAGTGCTTTGATGTTTTTTACCAACAGTATTGGTGAACAGCTTGGGAATCCTCATGAGCATGCTTTTAGCAATATTATGATGTCATAAACAGATTTTTAAAAAAAGGGTTTATTTCTCGCGCACCGAAAATTGCATCCAATTCATAATTCTTGTATATATCGTACGGCTGTCATTCTTCACACAATTATTCCCCAGAACCTTGATCACATCAGTGCAAAAAAATTTAGGAATTCTTTCCCGTTAGACGGCGACAAATGAATATTCGATTCTTTTTGCTGGACCAAGATTTTCTACTGCACTTTTAGTAATTATGCGAAAGCTTGAAATTTTGGCTAGCGTAGTACGTGGCCGTTTTTCAAGAAGGCACTTTTTCATAACGCTGTAAATTTCAAAAAGAAGCATGAACATGCAACATCGGCCTCGCAATTGAACAGTTACTTCGCTGGAAGCTCGTGGAGCACATGAACGTCAGAGAAAATCTTTTAGTGTCAGAATCAGACGTTTAATCTGAAGTTTTTTTCAAAGCGGGGAAACAATTTCTAACTCAATAACAAAAATCGCATTTCTATGTGTCCCGTCAAAAGGCTCATCGATCGATGATCGCATCACCCCTCTCCTCTTGCTCACCCTCCAGCCCGTGAATTGGCCAAAATAACATGCCCACCTTTACGACTCAATCTTATTTTCACTGATGCTCTGCGCAGAAACGGTCTTTCATGAAACTAAGCATAACATGGGAATCTGTACATATGCTCCAAATGATTACTACTAGTCTGGAAAAAGAGCTTTGTCTCGCGAGAAAAACGCTGGCGCTATACACAAGCGTTCCCTTTTGCTGAGGCATGATGCAAACGTGTTTTCGAAAAACGGCGACATGCCGCGCTAGCGAGAGATTTGAGCTTGAAATGATCACTAGCACTCCATGAAAAGTTCTGCCCCACCAAATTAGGTCGAATATTCTTTGCCATCGCTTAGCGGAAAAGTACCGTTAGAGAAAAAAAATTGTAACAAACTTGCAAAAAGGCTTCTTGTTGAGCTGCTTTTGATGGAAACGTTATCCTAGAAGTTCTTGTAGATCTTGCATTACTCAAGTGGTTAAAATTTCCAACACTGAAAATTTCTTATGGATCTTTCGCAAGATTTGAACATCTGAGAGAGTAGGATAAGGAAAATCACTCATTGGAAATTAAGCTAAGTCTCTAGATCGATAATTTCCATCGCGTTACATTTTTTTTACAATGGAATACATTCATAAGTGTTATGACATTCCCACATTGAGCGACCACCATCTTTTTGTTTTCCAAACAAGGATCTCAACAATTTCTTGAATCTTATCCTTTCTTTTCAGATTTGTATGTTTGTTTCTAGGATTATTTACTTCAGAAATTCTCCAAAAACAAGATAAAAGTAGAAACTAAATGCTTAAGAGATATCTTACTCTGTAGAAGTGAATACTGTGCTAGTTCATTTGGTTACTTGCCTTCATGATTTCAAAGCTCTTCTTGGAGTCTTAGACATTTGTGAATTTGAAAAAATCGTTGAATGCATAGCGATCGTATTTCTTCTCTTTCTTTGAAGGCTACTCCGAGACTAAGAATCTGGCGGCGGAATCGAATGGAAGTATCGAAGTGCGCTCACTCGACTTCACTCAATGGTAGGCATCTAATTGATAACATCTGTTACAGTTTTATAAGAAAAGCACTAGATAAGAGAAGTCATAAAAACTTTCTGTGAGACTCTGAGGAGGAATCGTTGTTTCATTTGAAAGAAAATTTAATGACATGAATGGACCACAACACACATGCACAACAGTGATCGCGTCTTTCAACATTTGACAAGCATATTCCCAATTGGTTATGAACTTTACGCATTGAAATAAAAGCAAACACAGTTGAACGGCTTCTTAAAACTTTAAGATCAATGATCACGTAATTTTTCTGCTTATTCACGATGGTATTTTGAATTTCTGAGACTCTCAAAACACTATTTTTGCTATTTTCTCAGGCGTTTTTTCGTCGAACAGTGAAAAATTACTAGATTTTGTTCAATATGGTATAACGTTAACATCTATTGCATCAGCGATGTATTCAGTGCCGTGTTTTTGCATGGAAATCTAATAGTTTGGTTCTTGTTTCTGATTCTTTTGAAACTTATTTCAGACAAATTAAGAACTGGCATTTCGAAGAAATTCATACATTCGTTCAATGTAACGTGACGACATAATTTCTCTAAATGATAGGTTCTCAAGCGCCCTGGTTATCAAGGATTATCGGCGCTCAACGAAAGCTTTCATAGTTTAGTGATTGTTAAATTAGTTGTATCCGATCGTCACTTCAATCCTCAGGCTCACAAGGCTTATCATGATGTCTTCTGGGTCAAAAAATTGATATAAGACTTGCCTGGAAGTAAAAATCAATAACTAGGTACATTGGCAAGCAACCGGAAGCCATAGGTGTAAACCGAAGATGCTTCAACAACGCCTTTGAGCTCGACTTCTTCGATACCATTATCAACGTGAGGCTTGTAATGTAAAAAATTTTTACCATTCTTTACAATTTTTTGCAGCCAACTTTTCGCTGCTGTATTGTTGTAAAAACTTCTAATCGGTTCTGTGACTGTATGTTCTTGTCTGCACTTAAAAGCATGCATTCTGGAAAAGATAAGACATTCTTGTTGGACAAATTGCAGTAGTTGGAAGAAAACAATAAGTGATCGCAGCATGAATGTTCTCGCTATACGGCCTTTTTCATGCAGTACTTACTCGGGTTCCGTCTTCACGAATTGTACGGACTCCAGCAGAATTTCCATTCGTTTCTTTGCCTTGTAATTGGATTTTCATAAAATAATTCCTAACACTTACAACATGCACTCATATGTGAACTCACAGGTGTTGAGGCAGAAGGAAACGTGACCGGTGTGGTTTAAGAAACTCTCAATTCTCGAATGCCAAAATCATTCCTAGCTTATACCATTCTCTCTCAGGTATCCTGGTGGAATTCTTCACACAAAAGCTTGGGCTGTAGATGGAAAACACTTCTACGTTGGTTCAGCGAACTTTGATTGGCGCGCTCTCACTCAGGTTAAGTTGCTTGATGAACGCTCTAAGAAAATAGGATAAAAAATTGTTTCAACATCTAAAATTGAACTCAAAGATTGGAAAGCAGAACTGTTTCACTTTTTTCACTTTTCTCGTGTCCTGTGGCCGTTGATCATGGATTTCACATAATTTAGCGGTGAAGCACTCGGTAATGTAGTGATAGAGCACGCGTTCCGAAATAGGATGAAATGCGGGTTCGATTCCCGCCTGAGGCCATGTTTTTTGCTCACTACTCAGTTTTCTTGGTTGTATATGAAACATATTAACACTACGAAGAATGCAGTAAAAAAGACTAGCAATTTCAAACATTAGTTATTAGTGGCTGCCAGCTCAACTGGGTTTATAAAGCAAAATTGCACACCCGACCAAGCCTGTTAAAGGTTGGTGGCTAATAGCTAACATAGAGATGTTGAAGAATGAGTGCTGGCGCAAATGTGCCTTGGTGGTGTAATGGTAGAGCACGCGTCTTCGGATAGGATAAAATGCTGGTTGGATTCCCGGTTAAGGCAGAGTTTTTGCTCACCACTAATTCTCTTAGTTGTATATCACAAAAATTTACATATTAAATATATCAAGCGAAATAATTTTTTTGCAATTGAAAGCATGCCGTTAGACACGTCTCAATAATGTTACGGCTGCCAAAATCTTATTTTTGATCTTAGAAATATTCGAAAGTTAGGTGATAAAAGTTGAAATCCTTCCTTTTAAAGGTGAAGGAGCTAGGAATGGCTGTATTCGATTGTCCCTGTCTTTCAAAAGACCTCACAAAATTGCTCGAGATTTATTGGGAAATGGGTTCTCCTGGAGCAAAAATTCCGCAGAGGTAATCTTTTAAAGTGTGTAAATTTCTTGTAATTTGTGAAATGATTCGTTGAAAAGTGTGATGGTGATACGGTTTTCTTGAGAATCTTAAAAGTGGATTGCTTCGCAGGTGTGGAATGAGATTGTTAAAAGTGAAGCTTTGAGGTGTAGACAGCCCAGTGGTCGTTACAACTTTCCATGATATTGTGACATGACTTCGGCCCGTCACGGTATAATCTACTATCCCTACGAAGTCGTTAGATCAATGCAGGATGTTTCCGTGAAAAACTTTTCTCCTTGGTAACTCCGCCGTTCAAAGGCCGCCTCTGGTTAAGATCTGGCAATAACTTAACACGACTAAAGCACAAGGGGAATCGACCCTACCAAGAGTATTCAACGAATTTCTAAAAATAAAACAGAAAATCCTCAAAGCGAGGCGAATGAAAGTGCTCAGAACTCCTGCGATGCTAAGTCGTTTGAAAAAGTGGTAATATTGTGATCATTTTGTCCTCTGGTAGATGACGTATTCGCTTGCTCCAACCGCATCATTGCTTCCAATGTGAGAATAAGTTGAACGTAGTGATCTTTTGCAATAATCATTATTGATACTTAACATATCACGCCAAAATGTTGTGCATAATTCATCGTGTATTGACAAAGTCGTCTGTATTTTGATAGGTAGAATTTATGCGTTATTCAAAGGTTTTTCTTCCCAGATGATGCTTTTTTTGCTGAAAAATTGCAGGTTGAAGTGTTTTACAGTTGGCCCATGTCATATGCGACACCCGCCTACCATGAACGACCAACCACAGTGCCACAAAGAGATGGCGATCAGGCCGTGTATTTTTCTGTGAGCACTTTAGAGAAATTCATGTCCTACAAAGCTATTAATGTCCCGTTTTCCAGGCATCTCCTCCTGGATTTCAGTCTTGTGGAAGGGAATCTGACATTGATGCCATGGTGAAGCTCATCGATGAAGCTCAGGTGAACATCTTCAAAGACGCTAAGTAACAGATGATAAGGATTACTCACAGAATTAATAAATGATCCACATTTGGGTCCCATCTATATCTTTATCATCACAATATGTGATTGCACGAATTTTGGAATGATTCCCTTTAGCTCTACACAATTAGCAAAGCGATCTCATACGAGTATTCTCAGATTCAGTTGTGCTTGCTTTACTATTTGTTCTCTACCTTCAACTAAATTAATTTTGGTTGTTTTCCGTTAGACTGCACTAGATGGGAAAACTATCGCTTTTGCTAGATAAGAACTTTTCATAGGAATGTTGGTAATCACTCGAGCTTAAATCTCTGTATAGCGCGTTACCTGACCGGTTTTGAAAAAGACTCTATTATAAAGTTCCCATGGAAGAAAAACGTTTGTATTTAGCACAAGCGTTTTTCTCGTGCGGCAAAGCTTTTTTTCAGAATGCTAGAATCATCTGATAGCGTGAAGTTTAGGGGACTCCAACATTGTGCTTGTTTTCTAGAATGACCGTTTATGTGCAGCGTAGGAGGGAAAATAAGACTGATTGACGTATACAGGCATTTTTTGGCTCATTCACGGGCTACAGGATGGAAGGGAACAGTGGGGTTGACGCGATTATAGATCAATTTTCACTCGGCCTATCTTATGAAAGTGCGATTTTTGTTATTCATTGAGAATGCTTCTGCGCTTTGGAAAGAAAACTCCAAATTGAACGGGTGACTCTAGTACTAAAAGATTTTTCTCTTAGAGCAAATTAACAGTTGAATGAGCAGCCGATGTGAACCATAATTTTATTCTGAATATTGCAGCGTTATAAAGAAGTCTCTTTTGAAAAGCGGCACGTACCGCGCTAGCCAGAGATTCAAGCTTTCCCATGGCTACTGAAACTTTTATGAAAAGTTCGAGCCCAGTGAAAGGAGTCGTTTCTTCGTTCCGTGCCGTCTAACGGGAAAGAACCTGTTTCTATTTAGTAGAGTATGCAAAGGTTTTATTTCCCTCAATATTTTACGTTATATTTTCACGACAAATTTGTTGACTTGCTACTATAGTTGCTGTTACCTTTATTATTATCGTAATGGTTCTTATTACCAAAATTCTCAATGCTTACTATCAGTTTTGCTACAGGAAACTCTTGACATGGCTGTTATGAACTATGCACCATGTACGCTCTACTCAAAGCCATTGAATTCGTGAGTTTTCAAAACTCAGAATAAAAACATATCGTTTTTTCAATATGCAGAAAAGAGCGAAAAAGCGACTAGGTTTTACAACTACACTCATGCAAACAATCAGATGCTCATCGCATCACTGTGCGATGTTAGGATGTTATTCCATTATTTTCATCAGCTTCTGACGGTTCTTCCATTCGAGAAAACAATGTGTATGCATAGTATTTGTTTGCAAAGATAGATTTGCGCTCGTAAATAGATTTGCATAAAAATTGAAAGCCCAACTTCTGCTTTCCTTTTTTCAAGAAAACAATAACTTACGCGTTCCAAAATCGACGGCTGCCGTTTTGGCAACTTCGTCCTCTTTAGAGCCGTTTAACCAGTTGTACGAAAAAGATCATCGAAGTACTGTCAACCACTACGAATCAGTTTTCATCTGAGGTGTGTGACAATACTGACGACTTCTTTCCATACAAGTTGCCAAAAATTCATTCGTTGCTTTTAAGAAATATGTACCAACCTCACGGAAGTACGAACAGAAAGAGAGATTGAAAAGAATTTGAAATGTTTCTTTTGGAGAAGAGAAACGTCGAAAAGCTTGGATACTTATCTCACTCTCTAGACGAACAGCGGAAAACCGATAATTTTCACACCTGCCCTGCAGTTTGAATGTCCTATTGCATAGAGAAGAATCGCGATCGGTCGGTAACGACACATTCATAATATCTTGATGTCATTGATAAAGGAAATGCTTCAATCTTAGCATTAGAGAATTTTACATCAGTTCAATTATTGCAGATGGTATGGTCGCCTAGACGAGGCTATTCGTAGAGCTGCCTTTGATCGGCAAGTGCAGGTTAGGATGAAACTCACGTAGTCTATGATCGATCTATGAAATTACTCAGTAAACTTGCAACTGAGATAGAATTTGGCCATGTCCTGTCTCGTCATGGCATCATCTGAACTTTTTAGGTTCGCTTCCTATTTTCTCGATGGAATCATACTGCCAAGAAGTACTATTCTTATCTACATTCGTTGCAGGACATTAGTAGCCAACTACAATGTCGATATGTTGGTGGGAGCGTCTCCAAATTGAATTTATGGTCATCTTTCTTCTCGGGATTCAATTTTTATGCTGTTCAGATCGCAAATGCGTTCGACAAGGTTCAATTGAAGTGCGATTAATTCAAGTGCCAGACTTGCAATACGGTGGTATACCGTATTCAAGAGTGTATCACAACAAGTACTTCGTTACAGAAAAAGCTGTATACCTTGGTAGGCTGAGTGAACTGCTCTTAAATATCGGATTATTCAAAAGCAGCACGAAACAAATTCATTAATATTAAAGAGATTGTTACAAGCCGTTTTGAATTGGTATTTTGGTGGCATACGTACCTTTCGGTGGTTTTGCCCACCTCATCAGAGTCACACGCTCCGTGCGCACGCGGGTCCTCTTACTGATAGTGGGGACGGCGAGACGTTGTGACGGTGGAATACAGAACATGGCTTCCACATTTTTATTCCAGTTGATAGAATGTGGCTGTTAATGAAACATTGCTCCCTACATGCGACTACGTGAGAGGCGTGTGGCTCTGATGAGGCGATCGAAACCGTCGAAATGTACTTAAGTCATTAACGCACCAAATGTGAAATGGCTTGGAGCATCTCTCTGACAACATTGTATGTTCATAACGAGGTTCTACAAAACAATCACATGTAAGAAACAAATTGATCACTTTTTTGGAAACAAACCAGTTTTTCTAGAATTTGAGGATTGTTCTATCCGGAAATGTCAAAGTTTCACAGAGTTAACAACTCGTATATAATCAATAGTTGCATAGATTTTAGCACATCAAACTGATATGAAGCCCTAGAAGTGTTTCGGATCCATTTTACATATCAAAAAGTGCGCAACGGAATGATTTATCTTAGCTGCATATATTCAGATCAAATCTGGGTTTGACATGTTTCTTCGACCTTGCAAGGACGGAGTCCCCCTTTGATGACCCCAAGGCGGATAACTGTATTGCAAAATTCGCAACAGGTCTCATATTTTAGTGGTATCATCTTAGCCGAAAACTTTGATATTACCATCGGACAACCTATCTTATTCTACACTAAGGCGGGACAGGCGAAGATGAAGTGTTTCCGGCCCTGAAAGATACATCTTTCGTTGACTGCGGCGTTTAGTAGATATGATGGGTGAAAAGCCATTGTACGGAAAAGCGGAATAGTCTCAACCACCAAAAATCTGCATTTTATCTCATGGAGCTTTTAATTAAAAAAAAGATTTTTTGGCGTTGATCAGACGCTGAGAGATGCGCCATGCATTCGTTTTCAATTTCTAGCTTCATTCGAGGTGATTAAGTGCATATCTGGCCTTCACAATGACTCGCAGTGGCCTCCCGCTATGTCGATCCAGTGTTGCTTATCTTCCCAGACAAATCTGGGATCAGCCCCGGTACCAGTCTACCGACACCGGGGTATGGATGACTTGATAAGTAGTGAGCGCGAGATCGAACCGTCGGCCTTATGTGTGGCACAGGACACCTCTAGCCATTGAGCCGCATGCACTCCTCGACGTTGTAATTACATGATAAGAATTAAATCTGTGTGCAGCCTTTATTATGTAGTGAAAAATTTTGGCAAGTAATGTGTAATGGATTAGGGAAATGGTCTAATGGGCCTCAAGAAGATAAAGGTGTATATGATAACTCGAAAAGCAACTGAGTGACGACATCTGCTCAAAATACAAAGCTCATAAATATTAGTACACATTATTTTTATGGTCTCAATCGGTGGATGTGTCTGTAGTTCATACTAACCAGTTGTATTTGAAATCACACTCATTGATCTGATCAGAAGAGTATTTTTGTAGATTTCCACATCCACAAAAGTGCTGCATTTGGTTAACAGTGAACTGTGTAGTGTGGTAAATCTGTTAGGGATTAGTGAATGCAGCAAGTAGATATTTATTAATCTCGAGAACGAACTTTGTGTTGACCCTCAAATTCCTTGCAGGGAGTTATCACGAGTTTTAATGAAATTACAGGAACGTCGAATTGGAGTCCTGATTATTGGAAATACACGGCTGGAATAGGAATGATCATTAGAGCTGACGATATAAGCCAGAATTCAACAGTGGTCAATCAATTTGCCCAGGTTAAATGATTACGCATTTTTCAAAATAGGAAAAGAGAATTACACCACATATTTTTTCCAACATTCCTTTGTTCTGAAAGAGAACATTCGGTTTACGAGGTTGTGGGAAGTAGAATAGAATCCTGAATCAATGAAAATCAAAGAAAAGTTCACATAAGGCGAAGCGCAAGTTTACAGTTGCCTCAAATTTGAACGTTCAGCTTGTTTTGAAACCTACTTAATATTTATTTTCGATGTTTGCGGTAAAAATCTCCAAGATTTCTGTTTTAGATTTTTGAAAGGGATTGGAATTCGGACTATACGATTCCCTTGTCCTACTTCGATAACAACGGTAGCTGGGTGAACAAAACCTCATCTCATTAACAATAATTTTATGTTTATTCAATAAATTGATTCTATTTAGCATTATCATTTCACTGCGTAAGATCATAAGAAAAGATATTTGAAAACTGATCAAATCAGAACCTGAAAAGTGAGGTATTTCGAACTCACGACTACTTTTGAGAGTCACGTTTTAAGCACTGCACCATGGATAACCTGCTCTGTACTTACCTCAGCCATATTTTAAGCGCAGCGATTTAATAAACATTCAATCAAAGGAGGCACATAGTATATGAAAAAGACAAGACAGTGGATAAATGTCAGGAATTACAGCCATGGATTAATCAATAGCAGCCATTCAAAGAAATTTGTTGGCGGATGAGTGAATGTGGCTCAGAGAAAGGCACAGCGGGAATCACGAAAGTGCAATGAGTCCCTTGGAAGGTTAGTCGCAGATATGAAGCCACCTCAAGCTCAAATCTTTTCTTGTATCTCAGATCTGTTGAGGTAATATTTCACATCGCAGTCCCTCTTAGCTGAAGATCTGACAGTGACTAAAGGTTACAAATAGAAAAGATCATTGTCACCTTGAACTGTCATAAATGTGAGCTCAGAAGGTTCGATGGAAAATCCAAACCTATAGACGTTTAAGCAGCGAACCAAAACTGCTTTTGACGAATCGCCGCAGCACGAAAGAGAGGAGCAACGCAGTGTTTTTTTTTCAACTGTGCCCGCTCAACTGAAGATCGTGATGAGAATAAGTCTAACATCCCCTTCAATAATCATACTCAAGACTATATTAATACTACAAGGCCAAATTATCGTCTTTTTGTTAAAACTTGACTCAATGCAGCAGACATGCTTCTTATTCGTAACGGCTGACCACACGTGGTAGCTACCCGAAGCCGCACTAGCATGGCTAGGCCGGGCATACGGAAAAAATATTGCAAAGTCATTATGTCAGTCTAGTCACAGCTGCTCGAGATCGAGTTATGTTCAGCTGAGAATCGACTACGCAAGCTAAGCAAACAATTGTTGTGAGCATCGAACTAAGTATTCAGCATACTCGAATTTCCCAGCGATTTTACTGCTTCTTTCGTGGTGTTATAATTCTTCCTATACACCAAGAGAATTTAGTGATGAACAAAATCAAGACCTCGGACGGGAGTCAAACCCGCGTTATATCCATATCAGGGACGCGTGCTACCACTACATCACCGAGGTACATTCGCACCAGCACTCATTTTCCAGTATTTCTATGATAGCCGTTAGCCACCAACCTTTGACAGGCTTTTTGAGTGTGCGAGTTCGCTTTATGAATCTAATTGAGCTGACAACCATTGTGATAAGTACACTCGGAATTTCTAGTGTTCATACTGTCTAGTTCGAAGTGTTATGATGTTTCCTATACACCTAAGAGGATTGAGTGATGAGCAAAAACACGACCTCAGACGAGAGTCGAAGGCGTAATCACAGAATAATAAGAGATTAAAGAAATATTACATAAAACATTACGTAAATGTTGAGGAGTGCTAGACGTTATCCTCAAATGATCCGATATCACATGTTGTACTGTGTCGTAGGACTTGTTTTAGCCGAGTTGTTGCTTCGTTTCACTTTTTACAGAAGCCTCCAAAACTTCGAGTGATTTCACTGTAATCTGGAAAATTGTGATTTTCACTGACTGCAGTAGAATGCTGGTCAATTCTGTTATGCTTGGAATACTACGATAACTTTTCTATTGTGCTCTCACAAATTTTCTTCATGCAATCACCAGCCTTTATCATTGAGAAGAAGATTTTCTGACAAGTTTGTCAATTTCTCAGTCCTCAAGGAATGAGAAAGCTTGGTTGAAACAGTATGTGCTGAGCCATGTCCCTGTGCGCTTTAAATAGGATTTCTATTACTATCTACATGCGAGCCATGCGAAGAAGTGCCTTGTCCTGAAACACTAACGGTAGTTTACCACTTTGCACTGAGATCTCGTGAAAACGACGGTTGCCAATGAGCAATTGCATAAACATTGCCTACCAAAATGTATTTCACGTGTTAAAGAAAGACTTAGTATTCATGCTCCAGCAATGACATTGTTTGAAGACTACTTGGAAGACGGCAGAGTTCAATAATTGAGTCAAATATGATATGAATGAATGATAATTAGCTCCAAAGCTCTTTCCAAAGTCTTACTGCCACAAAAAGATTGCTATACTGGCTTTCCCGTTTCGGGATATGCGATCGGTGAAACTGAACGCCCTAAGTCTTCATATTACGGTAGTGACGAGTTACATTTACAAATTATAGGAAGTTTTACAAAGTTTGAAGGTAAGTCACAACTAAGTGAGAGAGAAAAGTCGGATATTTCACACGACAGTACTCGAACACATCGTAATTTATCTGACGGTAGAGAATTTTGCCAAAGTGGGCTACGGTGAACTGTCTCGTCCACTGTAGTCATCAAGATTTTCGTCAGTAATTCACACTTTTTGAATGTCTCGTTAATTATACGCAGTGAGAGCTTTCGATAAATAAAGGATTGCTGAAGATTCTTCTGGCGAATTTGTTACAGATGTACAGAGTGTAATATTGCTAGATTAAACACACTGCCTGGCAGACAATTAGCACATCATATCCAGTGTCTCCAAGTTCAGTACATTGCATATCACTCAGTTAATCTAATTTCACTCCACATCAGTAATAAACACAAAGTTCGAGTTTGCTAAGTTGTTAGAAATCCGCTTCATCACACGCTACGTGGCTCGAGGCTTTATTCCCACCTCCCATCCTTATGAGGCGCTCATTCATCCAAAATAGTCAAATTCATGACAGTGTTATCTGGAATGATAGCAGGCACTGACTGAACGCACACAAGGTTGATGGTTCGATCTCTCTCTCTCTCTCTCTTGGTTCACCAAGTCATTTATCTCTTCGAGGTCGATATTGGTACCAGACTAGTCTCAAACTTGCTTGAGAGGGTAAGCAGCGCTGACTCGACACAACGGAAGGCCACCGCGTGTCACTATTACACATAGATCTTTCGGTTTTCAGAGCCTCTTATTGCATATATTAAACAAAGTCACTGTGACCGAATATCAGAATACAATGATGGTTATGTCAAAAATTGTGCTGCTCATTCTATGCGATCCCATTTCATTAATAACTCTCGATATGTTTTCGATTAGCAATGTGAAAAAAAACATCAGAAGGTGGGACCTCCCTAAGAGCATAGAAGAAATTTTGTTCTGTGATTTCATGGATATTTTTTTATTGCCCAAAAATTCTGTACCATGAGCACATTTTAACGCTGTCTGTTTGACACTGCACACGACGCACTGTTTTTACATTAACTACTTATTTCTTTCTAGTCAAAGGTCAGCGTTGAAGTTTCCTGTACCTCGTTTGTTTCCCCTTTTTCAGGTTAATACAATATCTTCGCCTAGTTGCAGCCGTCTATCAATACAATGGTGTCTACTAATGAACATATGATACCAATTTAGTAGTGGCACCTTATGGGAGAAGAAGATGAGAAGAAGGAAGGGACAGGGTGCCCGAGTAGTTAGTAATGCATATTGACATGAAGCAATATGATGGTTCCAGTTCTCTCCTAACACCCTCACGATCATTAAGGGTTCACATTAGCTCAGTTATCTTCAATAATTCAGACAGATCTTTCCTATTGCTATTTACGACACTCACGAAGAAAACGGAAAGCTCAAGCGCGGTGGAAGGAACACGCCGAACGTATGAAGACCTTCAAGACGACGAGTGCAAGGAAACAAATCATGCTGGAAGTGATGGGATTCACCCAATATAATTCGATGTTGGGTTATATGGAATAAAATTTGAAAAATAGAGAACAAATCCTGGCAGCAGATTTTATGTCCTTCACAAGGTCTTACATTGCACTTGAAATGCTAGGCGTTCGTTTCTGTCGTTTGGCTTCATAAACAGACACGCTGCCTTTCGGTTCAGCCAATCTTTGTAAGGGGATATGCCCCCACCTATAAGGGACTCGATGCCGAATTAAATATACTGCCTTTGAAGTGAAAAGATTATCCTACACTGTAGTGATAACAAATCACATCAAGTAGTAGGATCACCTGACATTACTGTGATCATTTGACTATTTATCATGAAGGGAGTGGAATGTGCTGCCAGGGTGTATGAAATTCTGAACGAAGTTTTAAGAAAGGTTAAGTGTAGGGAAAAAGATGTGAAGATTAACCGTAAAGGAGAAATCATCGCTAATTGAGAGATATCAATTGCCTACATATCGGAGGTATCGCCTTCATAGATGGTCCCTTGGTATAAAACACTAAAGTGCGTTTGGAAATCTTGTGATGTTGTTGGTTCTAAAAATTGATTATTGGGTAAACACATTGAATACAACGTTTACAATATCAGCATCATGTAAATATGGCTCGAAAAAACCCCTTTTTCTCACAAGAGCTGATGGATGATTTTTTCAAAAACGTAGCTTTTTTTTGAAAAGAAAGAACTTTGAGAAACTGACTTTTTTTTTACTAGAATGATGTGTCTCTTTGATAATCGATTTATCTTTTCGTGGATGTAATTTTCACAAAATTGAAGTTCTACCGTATAAGTACCAAAGATCAAGGTAAAGTTGAAAGGACGGGCTGACCGCTGTGGAAGCAAAATGTGATATTTTTCATGTTACGGAGCTTAGTGTAAAGATCCTTTCACAAAGCGTGCTCGTTGATAAGACCTCCATTTTTCGAACTATCGAATGGCTATTGATAGTTCAGTGAGAAAACTCTTTTGTATAAAATAACCAAGAATTCACGAAAACACTCCACAGAATGCAACCGCATGCAACAAAAATCGCATTCAGGAGCAAGCATTTTTAAGGCGATTGGACGTTCTTCTTATTAAAAATACTTTTACAGAAATCCTTTCAATGATAGGTCATTTTTCCGGCTATTTTTCGGCAATAAAGTTTCCTAGGAGTCAAAATATCACCACATAGCACTAAAAAATCTGCAGTAAAATTGGAAAAATGAACTCCGATTGCGAAACGGTACCTAATCATTGTTAATAGATTTACTGAAAAGTCTTTTCATACAGCAAGTTTTTTGTTGAAATCAGAATATTCAAACTATTCACTGACCATAAAGATTAGCAGGATAAGAAAAAAATGTCAATAATATTTGGAAATATGTTTCTTTCTTAATCACGTGGTTTTCCTATCGAAAAATTTAGGATTCTAGTGAGCATCGGAGTGTTTTCATCGAAATTATCTGCACAAAAGTCTACTTTGTGATATTCCATCACTAACTGAGAATGATGTTCCTTGAAAATCTTAATCAACTCAGATTTGTATCAAGGTGTGCGCCAATCTTCATGACCGACCGAAAGGAAAAGCTAGATGAAGGTCAAAATGACCCCTCCGTCCTCAAAGAGATATACCTAATCAAGCGGCGTAACCATATATACATCAGATAGCCTTTTCGATGTTTGATGAATGAAGTATGTTCATGGAATTGAACACTCAATACGCCTTATACTTTATTTATATATAAGGATGAGAAAGAACTTTTTTAACACCCGCGAAAAAGCCAAACTTTATGTTTTGTTCCTCATAGCATGGGTTATTGCAAATTCAAGGGGTTAACTCAGGAAGATCCATAAGGAACTCTACAGCAACGCTAATTATTGTGCATCAAATTTTACTTTACTCTTCGAATATCAAACGATGACGATGGGCAAAATTGAGCTTCGAGTTTTGATAGGATATTATCGAGAGCGACAACTTTCGACAAGAGATGCTACGAAGAAGATCTGTGGTGCCGAAGGTAAAGGACCTGTGACCCACTTGTAGTCTTTTCACCTCAATGAAATATTTTCTGCCTGGACGCTGATCCAAGACATATGATCGTTGAAGAGCCACGTCAGGAGTTTTTGGGCACTTTTTCATTATCTCCACTCTGTTTCGACCCCTTATAAAGAACGAAATATTTAGTAGTTTTCAAATTTCAATCAACATTAGATAGCTCAAGTAGAAGGGATTTTAATGGTGCACTTCAGCTTCAAAAGGCTCCTTATTGCGCTGAAAGAGCAAAAATAAAATTTTGCTTCTTATCCAAAAGTTTCTCACTGACCAAAGCTTTTCCTTCGAAGTTGTAGAAACCAATCGATAGATCGAATCTTAAGAATTCTGATGATCTTTTTGATTTTCAAAATGGACGTCGTATTACGCTTTATCAAAA